GGTAGAACAAGAAAGACTTTGGAAGAACTCAAGGTGTTGGATTGTAGAGTTATCTTACGTTGTAAAAACTTTGGAAGAACTCAAGGTGTTGGATCGTAGAGTTATCTTACGTTGTAAAAACTTTGGAATCAAGGTAGGGGTTTGTTGGGGGCCTTTTTCAGAGATTGATTTAATTAAATTTTGTGAACACTATATATTATGCGTGATATGATTATTTGATTAATATTCTTGTTACAATTGAATGTTTTTCCTGGAATGTTTATGTGTTCTTGACTAGTTGAACAATCTTGGCATAATTGTATATACATTGGTGATGTTTTAAATGGTTACGTTATTGTGAGATACATGAGATATGTGAAAGGCATAATTATATCATGTCATGTAAATTGGTTGGAGTTGCTGGATTGAGAAAATAATGATGGAAAAGAGGGTAATGGAAATAGTCTTTTGTGTAGTTGAGTCTAACTCTTGGCAAGTACCAGGTCTCAGGGATCCCATAGTGCACATGGTTTTTGTTGGGTGATTCGGGACTAGCGACAGGGAGTTAGACAAGATAAGTAACAAAAGGGGAATTTTGGGATGATTGAGATGGGTGTTAGTTCATATAAATGGGCATTGTTGTGTAGATACAGCTGCACCAAAATGGATTCAGTTGCATCCTCAACTTGTGATACTCGCAAGTGCACGAGCCGTTTGGTAGTATAGCATATGTAAGTGCGAGGTCGATCCCACGAGGATTGGTGATTGAATGATCCAATTCATTTTCCCTACACAAAACAGAAATGAAAAAGAAAGGAAATAAATACAACAAGAAAAAAAGAAATAACTCAAGCAAATAAGTTCCCAAGTTCAATTAGATTAACGGATTGATTCTATGATTAAGCCATGGTGTTTGGTCATAACCTTGTGTTCCTAATTCCCTAATTTGATCATTTGTTGTCTAACCTAAAATTAAGCATTAGGAACCCATTAAGCATAGAAGAACAATTTAAACAACCAAGCATGTATCTAATCCCTGTTGTCGAATGTCCATACATACTCTTCCTATTCATAGTTCAATTCGAATTAAAGCATGGTGTATACTCTTAATTCAAACCAAGATAGCTAACATACAAGCCTAAATGGTGATCAATCATTCAAACTAGCATATTAACTTATAAGCATAATGAATAAGAACATGAACCATAATTGAAACTTGGAAACTAATCAAACTTGAAACTAAAGAAAAGAATTTACATAACAATGAAAATTAAAGTAGAACTTGGAAAGACTTAAAGGAAAATTTAGTAAAAGGATTTTTGTTACAATCAATTGAGAACTAGAAAGGAAAACTAAGAGAATTTGAGGGAGAGAAGGGAGGGGAGCTCTAGAGAAGTGTTTGAGAGCTCCCCCCCTTGGGGTGTGTTTACAAGCTTAGAGAACTTCCCTATTTATAGGCCTAGGGGAAGTGAAAATCTAAATTCAATATGACTAATGCATACAACACTTGCATTATAAAAGATGAATTGGTTGATGCACTTCACTAATGCATACAACACTTGCATTATAAAATCTGAATTGGTTGATGCACTTCACCAATAAATCCCACCAGCAGCCCTAGCTCATCTTCATGTCACCATGACCAAGCTTCCAACCAGCTCAATAGCTCATGCCTAGCTCACCATGACCAAGCTTCCAACCAGAAACAATAGCTCATCCTGAGGTCAGCATGACCAGCAACTTCAAGGGCTTACGAATTGGGCTTCCCTTAAGCAAATTAAGACTTTAAGCACTCAAACTTGAAGTTCAGAATGTCTTCTTTCCAGCCATATATCATTTGGGCCAATCCAAGGTCGGAGGAGGAAGTTAAGGCCAAAACAAAATGCTAACTCATTTTGCGCGCTGATAAAATCCATCCTGAGCATGGCTCTGTGTTTGCTAGGTAACAGACTTCACAATTATCCAATGGGGCTGAATTTTGGATATGTTATAGTACACACCCATTGGAACAACTTTCATGAAGAATACGGCCTCATCCGAGCTGTGTAGGTTGCTGAAACAAATATTGCAATGTGACCTACGGAACTGGACTGGCAAGGGGCTGTAGCCAAAATGAGTTTGTCTTTAAGCTCTTCATCCATTCATCCAAATTAGGCCTTAACATGCTTGAATTGCATGAATTATGCTCTCTTACTCTTTTGGCCTACATAACACACAAATAGAGGCAAATAACTTAGAATTATAGGAAACTAAGCAAAAGAAGTAAGTAAATTGGGCATGTATATGTATGAAATTATGAGCTTAACAGGCATTCAGGACCAAGTGGTATAAGCATAGTATGGGACGTGTAGGTCTGCTTGTCCAGTTATATAAATTAACGGGATTAGATGAAGTGCATTCGTGCATTATTATTAATAATGTGACATTTGGTTGTGTGATTGTATGTCACTTAATTTAATTGTATCAATTTCTTGTAAAAAGGTTTATATCCCTACTAAGCTGTGGTTTCGCTCACCCCCTAACAAATTTTGCAGGTACCGAACCTGAAATCTAGAGCTTGTGATGATTTTGGCATATCTATAGAGTGTATTGTGTACATAGCTTGTGGATGAATAATGAGCTACTCTTTTTGTGGATTCTTGAGTAGTTCTAACTTGTAAAATAATGTAAAATTTTTAAGATTTCAAATATTGTCGTTTCCGCTGAGTATTCTATGTGAAATATTTATTTTATTTTATTTAAATGTTTCTTCACATTTTAGTTATAGTTTTTATTAAATTCTATAATTAAAGTGTGAATCACGTCGTAACCCAAGGTTACTTCAATCCGTGGGTTGGGGCGTGACACATACTTATCTAAAAATTCCTTCAAAGGAGTATCTTTATGAAGAAGTTCTTCAAAGTACGAAGAGACAACCTCACTTGGTTGCATAGGAAACATTCCTGCCAAAAATATATCCTTCAAATATACTGGTGTGGGGGGTCTTTTTGTTTCAGCAGCCTGACGAATGGGTTGGGCTGAGATAAGGAGCAAAAATGGGTGAAATTACCCCCTGTGTCTGAGTTCAAAGATCAAGCCCCAAGAATGCTTCGAAAGGACAGTGAAGCCTTAGGAAGCACCTTGGTTACCTTCACCAACAAAACAACGTCTGCTTACAGATAGATTTTCTAGCTTGGCATGAGAAGCTTGTGGCATGGGAGCAAAACCATCATGAGTTTAGCATAAACAGAGAGATGACTTTGAATTCCTATGAGAAATAGGGGTTCTAAGGAAAGGGAAGTGATTCTAAGAAGGTTGGCTAAGGGGGGAGAGAGATGGGAAGGAACGATGGGTGGTTTAAGTAATTTCCAGCAGCTTGACGAAAAGTCTGTCAAGATCTGGAATAGCTTGCCAGAAGAGGGAAAATGAGGGAGAAGGGTGAATGGAGCACGAATTTGCTGGGTTTTACAGGTGAGAGAGGAAGCTTGCTCTCTAGATGCGGGTTTATCTTTGTTGGGTAGAAGAGGCCTCATTTTATAGCTGATGGGAGCTATCTTTTCCCAAGAAACCCGAATGGTTTTTATCTAATTTGGCCAAGCTTTTTCCTTTCTTTCTCCTCCTTACCCTTGACTTATCCTATCCTAGTAAAAATCCCCTCTGCCCAATCTCACGAAATCAGGGATTTTGGGGCGCTCAATGCTCTTCCCGCAACTGCCTCAGTGGAGGACTCCTATTTTCAGCCATCTTCCTTCCTTCTTTTCTCCTCTCTTCCATGGCTAGATCTGATGGGGGGCAAAGAAATGGGTATGTACACTAGTCTGAAGGGTGCTTTGCTCAATTATCCCTTGGTTTTTTTGATGGCTTGCGTTGGGTTTGTCTTTGGACACGTGCTGGAGCCTCACACATATGGATAGCTTTGGTTTCTGTCGTTGTTTTTGTCTCCAACCATGTGCTGGAGGGTTGTAGATATTTTCTTGGTTTGCTTGGGCTTTCTTAAGGTGATAGGTAAGCCTACTAAGGGAATCGGCCAATCTTTTCAAGCGATGGGCTATTTTATTAAGGTGATGGGCTAATTTTTCTAGAGTATTGGGCTTCCTTTTTCTCTCTCTCTTTTATGCTTACCCACATATTTGGGCTCAAGAAATGGGCTTGAGTTTTGGGCTCCCAAGAAACCCGAAACTTCCATTTCTCGGCTCATCAATGGGCCTCATGAAAGCTCGTTACCATCCATACCACAACCCACTCAGCAAGCCCCGGGTATTTGTGTGGCTTGGGCCCACTTAAGCTTGTGCGTGGCTAGGTGTAAAATAATGATCTTTCGCTTGGCATGGCATGTCGATTGGCATGCTAGAATTTTATCCCCTTTAAAAAGGGACATGAGGCTTGACAGGATAATTAGCATGGGCTTGTAGAGCTAGTGCATTTTATAGGCTCATCTCAATTCTTAGCATGACAGATTATTTATTTGGCATGGCACGTGGACTGTGGCTCGTGCGAGCGTGTATGACGAACTCTTGCGTGCTCCAAACCAAGTCTTTTCTTAATAAGGTGTTGTACAGGGTTGGGAATTTATTCGGGCCCAACTGTGGATTTTTTGGGCCTCAACAACTGGAACCCATCGCTTCCGGTCTTCAAATAATGCTTGAAGCCATTTATGATCTCTAGTTCCATGGCGCTGGACCATATCCTCCCAAGCTGCTTTGAATTGCTCCACCCTCAGAGAGTAGTAGTAAATTGCTCTATTTAAAGATTCTTTAATTGCTTCATACTCGAACAATCCCCTCAAATTTTCTAGAACCTTTTGCATTATATGCGATAAGCACAGACAATGAGAAGCTCTAGGGAAAACATCATAAATGGAAGTTTGCAATGTTCTGCATTGGTAAGTAATGATGGCTTGTGGAGGGCGTCCCAATATACATGTAAGCCAAGCTCTAAACAGCCATATATAGGATTCAATTGTCTCACTTGCAAGTAAACCACAGCCTAGCAACACAGATTGTCTATGATGATTTGCTCCAATAAATGACACCAACAGGACTTCAAATTTGTTTTCCAAGCATAGAAATGACACTAGTGTCAATGGAAACTACATCACAAAAATAACTGTAAGCAACCCCCGTCCTCGCATTAGCCCAAAACAAATTTCTCAAGCATCCTTTCTCATTTAGATCCGCCACATAAAAGAAGTTTGGATCCATTAATTGCAAGCGAGAAAAGTAATTATGAACTGCTTGGTCATCTCCTTCCTTAAGCTTCAATTGATTGGAGTAATAAACTCTATTCCCAGATTCTCCTTCATCAACATCTACGTTTCCATTACCCTCAGAATCAATGATCACGGTTCTAAATAGCCTAATCTTTTGTACTTCTTCAGCAGTATCTAACTGCAACGCTCGTTTGGTTCCAACGCCTACGCTCTTGTGAGATTTATAAAATTTTGCACTTGCTGGACTAATCAAGTGGTTTTGCTCAATCTCAACTTCAATAACTCTCCACATGTTGGAGTCCATTAACCTAAACTTTATCATTGCTGGACAACTGATTCTAGTTTTTGGCCTTGGGTGATTTACTTCAGTTTTCTTTTTGAAACCTGCACCACTGTAGCTTAGTTTTCCTCTGTATCTTTCCTTACTCTTTCTATACCAAGTATTGCTCACCCTAACCCCAAATCCTTGCTTCTTGGTATAGCAATTGTAGAAGTTATACAAATCCTCATAAAAATCAAATTCCATTCCACCAGCAGGAGGGAGAGGGTTCTCTCCTCGAATAATGCCTGTTTGACTGATAAAATCTGACATTGCACAGTCTCCTCCAATCTCAAATTCATCAGCATCAACATCGCTTGCTGGCTCAGTGTTTAGAGAAACTTCATCCATCTCTAAACAAACATAAAACCAGTTAACAAGGAAAGAAAAAGCTATACAAGAAAACATAACAATTGAGTCGAAAGCCAGGTACAATTAGCATAAATCCTCCACTTTCCAACTCTCAAAACCTCTCTCTCAGACGATCACTTAATAGAATCAGCTACCTTCATTGAACATTTGTACTGGAGTACTAGACCCTAAAAATCAGTGGTTTTGTCCTTAAACAAGAGAAACCCAAGCACTAATCTTGAATTCTAAAATCTGCACTATTATTATAATAAAATGTGGTGAATGTTTTCTGTATTGATCAATGTACAAAGATTACAGATATATAACAAAGCTGAAGGAATACAGAGGGAAAGAAATCTCCAGATCCTATGTCTAAGGTAATTACACAAAAGGAAAATTATTGTTGTCCAAGTAAGACAACTATACAACGTTAACTTCAATCTAAAGTCTTCCTTCAATTAAGCCTTGATTTCTAACACTCCCCCTCAAGTTGGAGTGTGTATGTCTAAAAGATTCAACTTGCTTTTTAATCGTAGGAAAGTTCCTTGCCCAATTCTTTTGTAAAGATATCTCCGATTTGATCTCCAGAAGGAATGTAGTACGTAATATTCCGTCTTGAATTCTTTCAAGAAAAACATGGTAATCAATTTCAATGTGTTTGGTTTGCTCATGATATGCTCGGCTTCTGATGAGGACCTAGATACAGTGGACTGTTTTTTGGTTTTCCATGTGTAGGGGCTTTTTCATTCCAGCAGCTTGACGAATGGGCCTGGGCTGCTGTAAAGTGCAAATAGCTGGAATCGCCCCTTGTGTCTGAGTTCAAGAATCAAACCCCAAGTGTGCTTCGAAAGGGTAGCGGAGCCTTAGGAAACACCCTGGTTATCTTCACCAACAAAAAAGACAATTGCTTGCAGATAAATATTTAGGCTTGGCATGAGAAGCTTGTGGCATGGGAGCTGAGCATTCGTGAGTTTAGCATGAGAGAGAGAAGGCTTGGGTTTCCTTTGAGAAACATAGGCTCGAAGTAAGGGGAAGAGAGAGTTTTTTGGGAGGATTTGTTGAGGAGAGAGTGGAAGAGATGAGGAAGAGGAACGAGTGGCTTGAGCAAGTTTCCCGCAGCTTGACGAAAGTTCTGTCAAGTACTAGAACAGTTCTGCCAAGAGGGAAAATGGGGAAGAATGATGAATAGTGCACGAAATTGCTAGGTTTTGAAGA